ATATTTAGTCAACATGTTTAATTTATGCCAATGACAACAGGTATTGATAATTTAAATTCCAAATATCTCGAGAACCATTACTCTTAGCGATTTTTAGCAAGAGACCTTTTTTACGTAAAAAACGTAGTAAATGTATATTTTTTTACTCAGTAGTTTTATACAATCGAGGTACGAAAGAAAAGTACGGAAGAAAACTTATTATTCTTAAAACCAGTTAAAAAATAGGTAGGTGGTGCCCTCTACAAGTAAAAGCCATATTGACATCAAAATCAAATTTCTCATGTCAAAAAACTTCCAGACACCAATTTTCATCCAAATATTATTGTAACTTTACTTCAGAAATTATTTGGAAAAAATCGAAATAAAAATGAAATTTCTACACCCTGTATCTCCGAAACTAAACATTTAAGGACATGCATTTATACGAACTTTTTTACATATTTTTATCTGCAGAATATGCTGCCGAAGTTTCCGGAATGCAGTTCGGACCTCCCTGTATAACAACCATAATAATTATGGTTGTATAATTATTATATAAGAATCTAGTTCAAACTGAATTAAAATTTCTATAATTGAAGGGACGTATAAATAAAAAGCGAGACAAAATAAAATGGATATCAAAGAATGTAATCTGATGGAATTTTACATGTCCAATCTGTAATTGATGGATTATTCACTTTATATCCGATATTTTACATTCATCTTGGCGGAATTAAGTAAAAATGAAAATATGTCAGCCGTTATTCTTTCTTCATTGTGATTTATATGGAATATTTTACTCCCTACTTCATACAGTGTGGTCCGAATTGTATTCTGGAAACTACGGCAGCATATTTTCGAGAAAAAAAAACGGCGTCAGAGATGGCTGGGAAATGACAATCGATGATAATCTTGTATGTACTTTATTGTATGTACAATATGTACTGTTCTTTATTTTTTTAATGGCGCTTACGCCTGTTGGCCTTATAAAGGCTGTAATTTATTTTTATATTTAGTAAAAATTATTTTTATATGGTGTAAACAATATTTTTTTTTGTAATATGTAGATTTGTGTGTCTGGAAAGGTTCTAGCCTTTTTTAATCTTTCTATAGTATTAATTTTTTACAAAAATTTACGTCCTTTTAGTAAGTAGTGACGTCTAGAGATCGACCGTGCTAAAATTATCATCGGTTGTCATTCTCAGCCGTTTTTGGTTTGGTTTGGTTTGGTATTGTATTTATTAATGCTAATATTGTTTCAATACTATATCATAAAATTACTATCAGTTTAAGTTATTTTTTATACGATGTCTCGATCAAAATAACAAACACATTAATTTGACATTAATTTCTCAATTATCTAGTAACTCAAAATCAATATTTTTTTGGTCCTATAATTTGACCGCACAAACATACTTAATATTTCACTTATTTTAATAATAAACAGACATTGCCCTTTGAATATTTAAATTTGCTTTTGCTATTCACATTTAGTAATCAACCATTGTCTATAAAATATGTTTATTGTATGATAATTATTGTGCATTCAGCTATATTCTAAAAGTATTTTTGGAGATACGTTTGCTGTACGCCCACTTTAACTATGACTACTCCTAGGATGTTTTTAAGAAACTTTGCTACACTGCCTAAACAGCCCAAATGTGATTTTATACCTAAAAAATACGAGGTAAGTAAGGGGACTCTGGTTGGAGCTATTTAATAGAGATTTTAATATTTTTTTAACACTTTGTGTGAGAACAATTTTTATATTATTATTTTTATTTATACCGGGTGCTTCTCGAAAGTGGCTCACCCCTATAACTTCTTTATTTTTTTCAGATAAAAAAACGAGATTTGCTATGTTAGCATATGACATAAATTAGGATTGATTGACGTAATTCAATTGTTTTTGGTCACTTCCAGTTTCAACGGAAATTACTACAACTTTTGATTTTTAATTGGCACCCTCTGTATATTTCTACTTTATTCAACAGAAAATGAAATTTTTCTGGTATGGTGATATTTTCTGGTATGATGGTATTTCGAGTCAAATTGTCGTTATGAGCCGCATGTTACAATTTCAAATAAACCATATGCGAAAATGTCAAAAGCTGACATATTATCTCTCATTCTATTTAGAGTGTCATTTTATATAGAATAAAGTAGAAATATACAGAGGGTGCTACTTAAAAATCAAAAGTTGTAGTCATTTCCGGTGAAACAGGAAGTGGCCAAAAACAATTGAATACGTCAATCAATCCCAATTTATGTCATATACTAACGTACCAAATCTCGTTTTTTATCTGAAAAAAAAAGTTATAGGGGTGACTGGTATACTGGTTGTCTTTTGTCTTAGTACTCCAATTTCAAGTGAACAAATGAGTTTTTAGGGTACCAAACATAAGTATATAAAATGAATAAGGTCAATAAATAATTTGATAGTATATGACTCTGGAAAAAAAGTCACTAAATAAATTAAAACTACTTTTGTGTTTTTACACTAGCAATAAACATAAGTAGTTTTAATTTTTTTCAAAAAATTTTTGAAAGGATTTTGAAAATGCCCCAGAGTTTACTTCTTAATTGTGTGTAAATTAATTGAATGTGAATAACTAGAATTTAAACCTTAATTTTTTAATGTAGTTAACATAATACTGTATGATAAAAAAATGGCGTCCATTTGGCGTGGAAGTCACGAGCGATGGGATTTCCGTATAATTTTACATACCGGGTGCGTCTCAAAAGTGGCCCTATAACTTTTTTTTTCAGATAAAAAGCGAGATTCGGTATGTTAGTATATGATAGTGACGGGAATACCGGTTCCACATCAGTCGCGTTACAATAGCGACCGTTCCAGAAACCGCGATTTTGTAATCGAGGTTCCAACTTACTAAGTGTCGCGGTCTTCGCTTATGTAGTATTTCTGGCATTGGTACCTACTTTTATTTTATACTACCTACCTAGTCCCACAAACCACTGTCAAAAAAAATCTTTATTGGTGACCAGTTTCGGCAATTCCAGCCATCATCAGACCTTAAAAATAGATATAAACAATAAAACTTATATAAATGTATAAAAGCAAACAAATTTTAATTTTATTTTATTTGCTTTTACGTTTCATCTTTCAAACAACGCTATTTTATGCCATGCTTAGTACAGACCAAAAATCGCTATTTCAAAAGTAACGTAGCGACGGCGACGGGAGCACCAACGCCAATAGTAACCGACCCAATCGCTACAGGCGAAAACGAAACCCTAGAAGCGCTCCAGCGACTGCTGGAACGAAGTTAGCCGCTTCCGAGGTCGAGCGTCGATAGCCAGTTACAGCAGTACGCGACAGGGAACTAAAACTCTAGGAGCGCGACGGCTGGAGTGAAGTAGGCCGCCGCGCCGCCGAGGTCGAGCGTCGATGCCCAGTTACAGCAGTTACGCGACATGGAACTATGACTCTAGGAGCGCGACGGCAGGAGCGAACACGTCGCCGTCGCCACCGAGATCGCCCGACGCTGCGTACAGTTCCAGTAACTATTGTAGGCGACCGACGCAATCGCGATGGCTGGAGCTAAACACGTCGCTATGCGGTTACTACGGTTCAAGCTAACTTCAATAGCGATTATAAATAATTTATTTATAAATTATAAATGATTTATAATTTTGTCGTCATTATGATCGTCGTTCTTCAGTAACAGGTTCCCAATTCGTTGTGGAGCGCGACACGGTGTTACAAAAAAATACCGCTCCAAAATCGCGTTACTCAAATACCGACACATCACTAGTATATGACCGGATTGGAATTAGGATTGATTTACGTATTCAATTATTTTCGGTTACTTCCTGTTACATCGGAAATGACTACAATTTTTGATTTTTAAATGACAGTCTCGGTATTTTTTTTTACTTTATTCGATAGAAAATGACTCTGAATTGAATGACATATCTACGTCAACTTTTGACATTTTCGCTTTAAACAAAATTGTATTTTAAATGTCAATCTGGAGTATGCCATGGTTGTGTTGAAAACACTAATTTTTAATCAAGGATCTTTGGAAAAATAGATTTGATCGTCTACTGTTTTTATTGTCTTGTCCTGGCTGATTAAAAGATGCCCAAATAGTACCTATTTTTAATCATATCTCAATTTTTTCAAATGGAACGAGGGTGAAAAAAGCATTTTTTACGAATAATTTGGTACCACACACTTGGTATTTCGAGTCAAATTGTCGGTTTGAACCGCATGTTGGGGTTTCAAATAAACCATATTCGAAAATGTCAAAAGTTGACATATGATATGTCTTTCTATTCATAATGTCATTTTCTATCGAATAAACTAAAACAATACCTGGGTGTCATTTAAAAATCAAAAGTTGTAGTCATTTCCGGTGAAACCGGAAGTGACCGAAAACAATTGAATACGTCAATCAATCCTAATTTATGTCATATACTAACATACCAAATGTCGTTTTTTTATCTGAAAAAAATAAAAAAGTTATAGGGGTGAGCCACTTTTGAGACGCACCCGGTATTTGTAAGTTAGAATTAAGAAACAATGAAGCATGCGCAAAGCCGTTTTCACAATAAATAAAACAAGAGATTACCAACTCTTATTATTTCATTTTGGTTATATGGACGCGACTACGATGTTCCCTATAACCAACTTTCTTATGTTATTTTGTTCTTATTTTATTTTATTTCACTCTGTACGAACCACCATAAGAATTATTAAAAAGTTGCTTCTGGATATTCGAAACAAACTTCAACGTAATGTACAGGGTGTTCATTTTAAAACTTACCACCCACGTTATCTGCAAAAATAGACAGATTTGTGATATTCGCGGAAACATGTCAACAAATTTATCGAGGGGCAAGGTGTTTTATGAAAAATTGGATAGTCCAGCTTCAACCCCCTAACCCCCAGGGCTGCCACCCCAATTTTTTTAAATAAGACAAGGGGTCGTGTGACACATCATTTTAAAGCGCTTTTTATTCTGAACATTTTGACGTCTTATTTTTTAAATTTTACTTTACCGTTGCGGAATAACACCCATATTAAGGTTTAAATAGGTAGACATAATAAAAATATCCAAATTACTGCTCTGTCCCATAAATGCTGTAAATATTAAGAAAAATTACATGTTTGTTATTAAAAAAAATCAGTAAGCAACATGCATTCCACCTTTTTAAACAGACTCTTTTGTTATCATTAAAATTTGCAAACATTTCTTCTTTTATATTTGTTTATTTTATGATATTGCAGAAGAATTCCAACGAAATATCAGTGTCACTTTGTGATGTGTATGCCTAAGTTTCCTTTCAATTTCGCGCTACAGTTTTATAAAAATGGTTTACTCTCTGGAATAGTAAGTTGAATTAGTAATTAGTGCTTATTTATGGATCATGTAATCAGCTCGGACTACTGCCGCTGTTCTCAATGCGAGGCACCCCGATAAAAATGTTTCTCACGTTTATTGCATGCAGCTTATTCAAAAGTTTAGAACCACGGGGTCGGTAGCCAGTTCAAAACGTAGAGGTCCTAGGGTTCTTGATGAGGCGACTCAAATTGGGGTTTAGGACATTTTGCGGCAGATCAATGTACTTCCATAAGATAGATTTCTAATGCCACCCACGTGTCAGTCGGATCAATCCACAAGGTAACTAAGCTTCACAAATTCCATCCGTATAAAATTCAAATTCTACACGCATTGAATGAAGATGACCCAGATCGAAGAATTCAATTTTGTGAAGAAATGACCGTGAGTAAATGAGTACATTGCACGAACTCCAAATTTGCTTTTAAACTCATGTTTTACTGACGAATGCACATTTTTCCTTAATGGAAATGCCAAAGATAATTGTCGCTATTGGAGTGATGAAAACCCTCATATTTTTAGAGAAGGTCATACGCAGTACCCACAAAAATCAATGTTTGGGCGGGAATTCTGGGTAATACTGTGTTCCTAAATGAAAATCTGACGGGGAAGATTTACCTAAACATGTTGGAAGAATCAAAGGGACGACGTCGGTAACGCTATACTTAATGAAGATTTTATTCACACACAATAAGACGGGGCACGTCCCCACTACGCCAGATATGTCCGGGATTGGCTGGGCGATAGATTTCCAGAGAGGTGGATAGGAAGAAGAGGGCCAATAGAATGGCCTGTAAGGTCACCTGATCTTAGTCCCAGAGACTTTTTTCTTTGGGGTCATTTAAAGTCAGTAGTTTATAAAACCGTTCCCCAAAACATTGAAGATTTAAAAAATCACATAACAGCAGCGTGTAGGGCCATACCCCGGGAAACTTTTCAAAATGTCCGTCAAGAATTTGAACAGCGATTATTTTATTGTTTACAAGTCAATGGAGAACACTTTTAGCAATTAATTAAATAAGCTTAGTGATTAGGCGATGATTTAAATAAAAATAATTATTCAAACCTTAAAATGGGTGTTATTCCTATTATTCCCAAACCTTATAAATGGGTGTTACCTCAACGGTAAATTAAAATTTAAAAAATAAGACGTCAAAATGTTCAGAATAAAAAGCGCTTTAAAATGATGTGTCACACGACCCCGTGTCTTATTTAAAAAAATTGGGGTGGCAGCCCTGGGGGTTAGGGGGTTGAAGCTGGGCTATCCAATTTTTCATAAAACACCTTGCCCCTCGATAAATTTGTCGTGTTTCCGCGAATATCACGTGTTTCCGCGAATATCACAAATCTGTCTATTTTTGCAGAAAACGTGGGTGGTAAGTTTTAAAATGAACACCCTGTATATCTTTATACAGGGTGTCCCAGAAATAAGTGCAAGTATTTTAAGGGGTGGTATTTCTCGATAAAAGAAACATATTTTTTCTTTATCGTTTTTCATATAAGTCCAAAATAACGGAGTTATTTTACTTTAAAAATTTCCAAAAAAATGATTTTTTGCTAAAATTTTGAGAACCATTGGATCTTTTCTGGATTTTCTTTCTTGTAAATTTAATATAATGCCTATGTTGCCATATTATGAAGAAATTATGTTTTTTAACTAAAAACTAAAAAAAATTCCAAACATTTTTTTTTTCGCGAAAAAAACCTCATAGGCGTGTTTCTGGAGTTGAACTATACTACCAGTTAAAATACTTGCACTTGTTTCTGGGACACTCTGTATATAGAATATTTCGCCTCTGAAACAATAAAATGTAAAAAGTTATTTTTTGTAAAATGCCACAAAATTTGCAGCAACTTCTCATAGTGGCTATATAGGTACTTTGAAAACAAATTTACCTAACAAAAATGCTTAACATTTTGAGGGGGTATATTTTCATTTTCACATAAATATTATTATATTGTATGCAGAGCTACAAGCTCACAGAAAACTTAAGTCTTTTTTTGATTTAAATTATTTTAATGACTTAAAATTTAAGTCTTTTTTTTAATTATTTGTGATTTAAATCTTTATTCTGAAGTAGAAAAAGACTTAAGCCATTAAAAAGATTTAAGTCTTTTTATTGAAGACTTAAGTCATTAGAAAGATTTGTCTTTTTATAAAAGGCTTAATTAAGCCTTGTATAAAAAGAATTAATTAAGGTTTAATTTTAATTATCGTTTTAATATCTGGTTGTCTTGACTTGAAGTTAGTTATATTGATTTAAGTCACTTCTAACTTAACTGGTAAATCATGATGATTTAAGTCAAAAATATAAACTTAAGTCATAAAAACGACTTAAATAACGTTATATTGATTTGTCTTTACAAAAATGACTTGACTTGAAATAAAATCATTTATGTCAAAGACTTAAGACTTAAATCATTTTGATTTTAGAAATGACTTAAGAATGTCTTGACTCTCTTTAAAACTGACTTTTTGCAGCTCTGATTGTATATTGTATAATGATTGTAGTAATTTTCTACTCTGAAGAAATTAAATTTATAATTTGTAGAACAAGAGCAACAGGAAGAACAGAAGGGAACAGGAGTACACGCGGTATACACTTATTTGTTTATTTGGCACAGTTGTAGTTATCAAACATCCGATACATTATTTCAAAAATCCTTCATTATTGGTTTTTATATTTTATAGGGTCTTTCCTTTAAAGACATTGAAGCTATCAGAAAGAGGCATTTAAATCCAGCATTAACCACTTATTATAGTAAACCATTTGCAATTAGTCAAGGGCATATGCAGTGGTTGTTTGATTTGGACGGAAAACGATATTTAGACATGTTTGGAGGAATATGTACGGTGTCTGTAGGTCACTGTCATCCGTAAGTATATATATGGTCTCTTTTTTGTTTTTATCTTATATATTTCCAGTTATCCAAAAAAAACGGTGTCAAAGACGGTTGGGGAATGACAATCTATGATAATTTTAAATAGGTCAATCTCTAGATGTCATTTACTAAAAATTGACATAAAACTTGCCAAAAATTAATACTGGTTATAGAAAGATTAAAAAAGAATACAAGACACACATATCTATTTCCGAAAAAAATGTTTTCTCGAATTTTAAACTACACCAATTAAAAATCATTTTGAGGCGTCAAAGAGAGCGAGGTCAAGCTCTAGACGTAATTTACTTGGCCTATACTTTTCTTTGCTTCCCAATGGCCCTTACTGCCAGTTGGCCTTAAGAAGGTTGTAATTTATGTTTATATTGACTATTTTTTTTTAAATAGTGTAGTTTAAAATTCGAGAAAAAATATTTGTTATGGAAATAAATTTGTATCTTGAAACGTTCTATCCTTTCTTAATCTTCCTATAATTAGTGTTACTTTTTGAAAGTTTTATGTATTTAAAGAAATTTTATATCAATTTTTAGTAAATGACGGCTAGAGATCGACCTCGCTAAAATTATCATCGATTGTCATTACCTAGCCGTCTTTGACGCGGTTTTTTTCTGATCATACGGTACCTACTAACAGAAAATTCATTATGAGAAAGAGTTAATTGAAGAACAAACTTTTAATATAATTTACCTAACATTTTAATTTTAGAAAGATTACTAAAGCAGTTGCTGAACAAATGGAAATATTAGGACATTGTTCAAACGTATACTATAATGAAAATATCTCTAAGTATGCAAAAAAGTTATCAGAAAAATTACCTGGAAAATTAAAGGTAAGTGCGTCGATATTAAACTTATTGAGGCTCGCTTGTGTGAAGCGCGGCTCTTCACTTCAATGCACGGATTTGCATTATAATGCAATAGAACTTCTCTAATTTGGACACGCGCCAAATCAGACAATACCGGTAGTTCGGCGTTTCTTATCATTTGTACAGTTTGATATTTTGACCTCTGTATACCGGATACCACCAAAATTCAAACGTAAAGCTATATTAAAACGTAACTCGTCGCTATATTGGCGACCTGTCAGGCTCGGCTCAGACATTTTGATGCAATACGCAGTCTTTTTTTTTCTTTGAACTGAAAGCAAAAAGTATCGTATATCGCTAAAAATGGCGCCAATCCAACGTCCTTCCGAAACAAATGCAATATATTGGATTGTAGTGACAAGAAAGGAAGAATACGTGACATTTCTGATACATTTGCTATTCCAAAATGCAACATTTCAAAGTAACTTAAAATGTAGAATATAGAATGAGTGGAAGGGCATCAACGCAACCTGAAAGATCTATTGTGTCCCCCATTCTTGAGTTTTAACTCATCATACAGTCTATATCTCATCATACATGGGGAGCTTCCTGTTGTAGAGATTTTTCATCCTTCTGTGACAACAGTTGTTCATCCTCTACGCTAGTTCAACAGCTGTTCATCCTCATCTAGCTCCTACGAGGGTATACACCCTTCCACGGTTGGGGTTTAGTGCCTTTCACAGTCGAGGACCTTGTCTTCGGCTGGGGTACCTTTGAGGTGGAGGCTGGAGGATCAGTCTCTATTTTCTCGACCTCTTTAACTTGGTCTCTCCTTAGATACAAGATACAACACCTGATACCGGTGTTGTTCCGTATCTACAATAGAGGATATGTCCCTCTTTCTCTATTGCCTCCTTGGATTTGAAGTCAATTCCTATTGCGGGAGACCTGACCATAACCCTCCTCCCTCGAGTTGATGACTTGTCAACTCGATGTCCTTGCATTGGAGTTTTGGCATAGCTGGTTATACGCCGCAAGGGTGAGTCGGGCTACTTCTACAGATCCCCGCATGTAGAAGTAACGGAGACGAGGAAGTCTTCTATCGAGCCACAGATGACACTATGACAGATATGGTGGTCCCATCCGGCATCGTTATACGTCTTGGTGCAATTCCCTGGTCACGACACTATAGTCAGGGACAAGACAGTGAGATGCTCCTTAGACCCAGCCACCAAAGTACCAGAGGGAATTCCCCTTAGCACCTGAATAGGAACCTCCTCACCATTGACAAGGTCTCGCACCTCCTAGAGGAAGCAGATTAACTTAAGAAGAACAAGAATTTTTAGGTCGTTAGCTTACTCTTCAGTCAAGAGCCAGAGACAAAATGAAGATAATAAACACATCAATGAAGCACTTGAAACAGAAGATCACATTGTCATGCTGAAAATGTAACTTCAAAAAGAAAACGATGTTTCTACGCAAGATTTTTTCCTTTTGAATAAACTAAAAGAGAAGGCTGTTGAGGCAGCATTCAAACATTCGAATTAAATATTAATTTTACATTGTTTACATTTTTATGAACTTATGGAATGTATTAAGGTGCATATTTACTTAATAATGCATATTGTATTACATCTAATTTCGATTGTTTTGCATATTTATAAGTTTAGCCAAGAAATGTTAATTTGTGTTATTTTTTATGAGTAAGTTTTAAAGTGCGATTTTTTGTTTAAGTTTGAGTTGGAAACGATAACACTTTCAAAACAAATAAAAAACAATAACACTTTCCGGTAATCTGGATTTCTCTCTAATTCGACGGTAACTGTCTTCTGATATGTGTTCGGATTATCGAAGTTCTACTAATTATCCATTAGCTAGCCATACACAGAGATACTTTTGAACAATTAAAGTTGGGAATAATCGGATGATTTCAATCCTCGAGTATTCAAATAATCGATTGATCACCCGAGGAATCCGCGGTCATAAAATTTTCTTTGTTTTCATATTATAAAACTCCAACTGTTTGTATAATATCTCGATTCATACCCGAATAATGTTCGGTGCGTTTTGCTTACGGTATATTGTAAAAAAATAAATAATTATTTTAAAAAATTTTAAATAATTTTTGTAGGATGCGTAATAGTCTAAGAGCTAGCACCGTTTTCGAGAAAGTATTTTAAGACATCTGGCTCTTTGATATATCTTTTACTATGCTCTCTGGAACAGCATGCGGCCCGTCTAGCTGCCGATACCCGTTGCGTTCACTACTGCGCATCGAAAGAAGATCCTATATTTTTTATTAATTTAGTCCTATAAATTCTAGTATTGAATATAAATCGAACATGTCTCCATAGCGCAGTGCGTAGAGTTTCCGACCACGAACCCGATGATTCAGAGTTCGAATCCGGGTCAGGTCAAAGACTTTTTTATTTTATTTTCGTTTATATTCTGATAGTAAAGTATTAAATAATTCTGGTAATTAAAAAAAAACAAATATTTAATACTTTACTATCAGAATATAAACGAAAATAAAATAAAAAAGTCTTTGACCTGACCCGGATTCGAACTCTGAATCATCGGTTTGTGGTCGGAAACTGCGCTATGGAGACATGTTCGATTAATATTCAATACTAGAATTTAAAGGAGTAATAAAAATATAGGATCTTCTTTCAATGCGCAGTAGAGAACGCAACGTTTACCGGCAGCCAGACGGACCGCATGCTGTTCTAGAGAGCACAGTAAAAGATATCAGAGCCAGACGTCTTAAAAAAGAGCCAGACGTCTTAAAATACTTGTTTTTCCGACGTTGCTAGCTCTCGTACTATAACAACGTACTTATTTTTTGTTTCTTTAACTCTGATTTTGAGACTTATCTGGCAACCTCTTAGGCCGAATGAAGACAAAAGTTAGTGCCGAGTAATTCTCTAGAATCGACAAAAATCCTTGAGACATACCGCTGATTTGAATACTCGAGTGAGTATTTTTCACTCGAGTGATCCCATCACTATAAAAAATGTCTTCTCTGTAAGTAGGCATGCTTTAGCGACGTCAAAATTAACAGGTCTTCTCGTGTTAACTATTTTACGTATGTGGAGCGTTTTGTTTTAATAAAAAAAACTATCAGCAATTACCCCTCACTAGTACTCTTTTAAGTAATTTTTTAACTGGACTCATTATTTAAAGTAACTTAATTGTTTTAGGTTATATATTTTGTAAATAGCGGATCTGAAGCTAATGATTTGGCGGTACTTTTAGCACGAAACTTCACGAAGAACTTTAATGTGATGTCCCTAAAAAACTGCTATCATGGAATGACATATCAAACGATGGCATTAACATCAAACGCACACTATAAATATCCTGTTCCTCAAAATCCCGGATTTTTCAACGTAACTATTAGTAAATAGATATCGATCTTCGAATTTTAGATATTTCCACATTTTAGACAGTCAATCCCGATGTATATAGAGGTATATGGGGAGGAGAAAAGTGTAGAGATGGCCCTGTTCAGACCAAAAGAAGTTGCGATTGTGGAAACGAATGCGAAGCAGGTCAAAAATATATCGAACAATTTCAAGACGAATTCAAATATACTATTTCGAAGAATGGTTTAGCTGCATTCTTTGCCGAATCGATTCAAGGCGTTGGAGGAACTGTCCAATTTCCCAAAAATTATATCAAAAATGTGTCTAAAATTGTGAAAGATAATGGTGGACTCTTCGTAGCTGATGAAGTAAGTAAAAAACTGAAATCCTTATCTTAATCCTAGTAATATTAAGAACATAAACTAATAACATTTGACGACAGTAGAGTGTATCACTTGGCTGCATTTGAGGTATTTTTCGACTTCTCAGAAATAAATTGTAATTTTTATCGTTGATTATTAACATAAATACACCCACAATATATGACGTTTGATGATGATGTTTATAGTTTATATACCGGGTGCGTCTCGAAAGTAGCTCGCCCCTATAACTTTTTATTTTTTCAGATAAAAAAACGTGATTTCTGTATGTTAGTATATGACAAAGATTAGAATTGATTGAGGTATTCATTTATTTTCCGTCACTTCCTATTTCACCGGAAATGGCTACAACTTTTAATTTTTAAATGGCACCCTCGGTATTTTTTACTATATTCGATAGAAAATGACACTGAATAGAATGATATACATGTCAACTTTTGACATTTTCACTTAAAACAAAATTGAATTTTAAACTTAAATCTAGAGTGTCATGACTGTGTTTAAAACACTAATTTTTAATCAAGGAGCCTTGGAAAAATAGATTTGATTGTCTAATCTTTTTAGTGTCTTGTCCTGGCCGGTTGCTAAAATATGCCCAAATCGTATTTTTAATCGTATCCCATTTTTTTCTTAAATTGAACGAGGGTGACTCCATTAGCACAATTTGGAAAAGCGTTTTTTTGCGAAAAATTTGGTACCACACACTGACACAGTTGACATATGATATGTTATTCTAACCAGAGTGTCATTTTCTATCAAATAAAGTAACAAAATACCGAGGGTGCCATTTAAAAATCAAGAGTTGTAGTAATTTCCGGTGAAACAGGAAGTGACCGAAAACAATTGAATACGTCAATCAATCCTAACTTACCTATGTCCCATACTAACATACCAAATCTCGAGTTTTTATCTCAAAAAATAAAAAAGTTATAGGAGTGAGCCACTTTTGAGACGCACCCGGTATTTTTGAGAATCTTAAAAGTTATAAAGTGTTGTTCTTACCTTTTTGTCCTGTCCGACAAGTGGGATACTAGGGGTGTTTCAAATTGCAACATTTTCAGTATCGCCCTGTAGTAAGAAAGCAGCGGGGTTATTAAAACAAACAAGTTTGTAAAATGTCCGTTATGGGGCGCGTCTGTTAAGACCAGTCAGAAAACTGGCCTTTTATTACAGTTGAGGGTTGGAACCTTTGGTGTTACACAGCAAAATAAAAAACACTAAATCACCACAATACACCAAAACACTTTTACTTTTACACTGGACGCGCGTTTCGCTAACCATGTTAGCATCATCAGCAGATGACTATAAACTAGATAGATAGATAGATAGATAGTTTATAATCATCTGCTGATGATGCTAACATGGTTAGCGAAACGCGCGTCCAGTGTAAAAGTAAGTGTTTTGGTGTATTGTGGTGATATAGTGTTTTTTAAACTGGCCTTTTTTCTCAAAAATATGCCTGTAAAGAGGTATTTGAAATATTGCTATCGTAATTAATTGAGAAATTGTATTTTTTGGTATAGTGTATTTCTATCTCGTAAAATAAAGTAGTGGGCGAAGTTTAAACTTAAATTATTGCTTTTATATCTTTGAATAAGAAGATTAAGGAAGGAGCATATCAAAAATCTTAGGTACACCGCGATGGGCCTCAAATATGGCCGACTTAAATTCCGGTTTATCAGTGTCGTTCTAATTTTATTTAAAAAATGTAAAACTATGATGTAGGGTAGACGTGGGTAGACTCAATAATTTGTTGTCTTATTTTACGTTGTGAATAAATGTTGGTAGTTATTAAAATTGTTATAAAAATATATAATTCTAATAAAAATAGATAAGTTATAATAAGTATTTATTAACACAAACATCCGATACGCTACTGAAGCAGGTAAGTCAAATTAACGTATCTAAATTCTTTGACATCTAATCTTTGACAAGTAATAAATAAAAGCTAAAAATGCAAGAAAAATATATAATTTAGTTAATTTAAGTGAATTTCATAAATGATCGGTTTACTACACGTATGTATATTATATAGTCACTTACTAGCGAAAAGTTGTTCCATTATTTCACGTAATTTTTGCCGAGATCTACCGCACGCTACACAACCAACTATTTTAGTCTTTTTCGATAAATCGCGATAGTGTCACTGTTAATTTAAGTTCTGCCACAATTTCCATCTAGATTTACTACCTTTATACAACTATCAGTAGTACAATAAATAATAAATAACATAAAATAAGCTCCGTAAAGACTGACAAATCCACAAAATTTCAAATCAAATTCAAATGTGTCAAATGAATCGTCAAACAGAACTGTCAAGGATCCCCACCCTAGAGAGCTTTTATGGTGGCTTTTCCGCCCACCATGCATGAATACATGGATAGCATTATGCTCCTTCCTTAGTCTTCTTATTCAAAGTTTTATATTCATTTAGAGAGAGAAGGATCTCTAAAATAAGGATAATTTTGGTTTGGGCTAACGGAAGTAAACAAACGGGGGCTCATTGAAAAGAGTTCCTTAATAATTTACAATATAAACTTTGTCTTAACCAATTTTACTGTGGTAGCTAGAGGGCGCTGTTTGACTTCATAACAGATATTGCGCATTTACATAAAAATAAATAAATGACAGGACATTTTTCTGAAAACGCCAATAATAAAAAAGTTTTTCCTCTTGTAAAGACAATCCGGGGACATTCTGTATATGTTTTCTCTTATTGGATTTTTTTCCCCAAAGTATATACCGGGTCGTGCATCGACGTTGGAGACATAGGAAATCCCCTGCAAATTTTGAACTGCCGAAATATTGGCCCGCGTATTGATTTTACAGCGAAGTCATAAATGAATGTTTTTTTAAAGGTCTAGGTATGATGAAAACACATGCCAAATTTGAACAATTTCGGGCAAGCCGTTTTTAACTAATTTAGAAAAACTGCATTTATTTTTAAATTAAAACTGAACGGGTAACAATGTAAAACCAGGCACATGTCAACATACCTTAAGTGGTTAACCTATGATTGAATGCAGTTTGTTGTGCTGTCTAACATGGCAATAACTGACCGCTTTTGTCAGCTATTTATGAATATAGGATTTTCTGTTTCCAACGGCGATACACCACCCCGTATATTATTCGCTAGTATCTACTAATATACGGATTTAAAGAAAGAAAACAAAAATGAAAAATAAATAGACAAACGATATGCATAAAGTGTCAAATTCAACAAGCGTAACCATAGTTTCTCGATATACAGGGTGGTCCGAATTGTATTCCGGAAACTTTGGCAGCATATTCTGCAGATAAAAATATGCAAAAAAGTTCGTATAAATGTATGTCCTAAAATGCTTAGTTTCGAAGATACAGGGTGTAGAAGTTTCATTTTTATTTCGATTTTTTCCAAATATCTTAAAGTAACATCAATATTTAGATGAAAATTGGTGTCTGGGAGTTTTTTGACATGAGAAATTTGATTTTGATGTCAATATGACGTATTTTAACTGTTTTGAAGAGTAATAACTTTTTGTCCTTACCTGTATAAAACTACTGAGTGAAAAAATATACATTTCCGTGATTTTTTACGTAAAAAATGTCTCTTGGTAAAAATCGCTACGTTCTCAAGATATTTAGAACGGGAACAGTCAATACATGTCATTACTGACAAAAAATAAACATGTCAAGTAGATAGTTGTTTGACTAAAATTATAAATTTGGGAACTTTTTAGTTTTTTAAATTAATCATAATTTTTTCTTCGACAAAAAGATGATAAAACAGTTTCTGTTGAACCTTTGGCACAAAAAGATTTCAAATTTACAGTACGTCTGTAGCTACGGGGTATCCGTGAGAGGGGAAACGATATACTCTTGATGTTTTTCGTAAAAAAATTAGACGACGCGTCCCATCAATAAAAATTCAACAAATTTGCAAGTAGCCAATAAAATGAGTGGGCGGAGCGATTTGCGGTGACATACTCGTCAAGTGGACGTATAAAATATATTGCTGTTTATTTAAATGTTTTTTGTCCACACCTTTCATAGACACAGATCCAGCAGACGTACTGTATGATTTCAGTCGAATAACTATTTAGTTAACATGTTTAATTTATATCAGTGATGACAGGTATTGATAAATTCGATTCCAAATATCTCGAAAACCATTACTCGTAGCGATTTTTGCCAAGAGACTTTTTTTACGTAAAAAACGTTGTAAATGTATATTTTTTTACTCAGTAGTTTTATTTTACAGGTACGGACGAAAAGTTATTACTCTTCAAACCAGTTAAAAAATATGTAGGTGACGCCCTCTACAAGTAGGAGTCCTACTAACATCAAAATCAAATTTCTCATATCAAAAAACTCCTAGGCACCAATTTTCATCCAAGTATTGACGTTAGGTACTTGGTACTACATAAATTATTTGGAAAAATTCGAAATAAAAATGAAACTTCTATACCCTGTATTTCCAAAACTAAGCATTTTAGGACATACATTTATACGAACTTTTTTACTTATTTTTATCTGCAGAATATGCTGCCGAAGTTTCCGGAATACAATTCGGACCACCCTGTATAATTACATGCAAGGTATGACTTTTAAATCATTTTATGTCATTTGGAACTTTTGAAATCATTTAAAAATATATTTGTAGCGTTTGAAAAAAATAGCATACTCGGAGTAAAAATGACTTTTTGTGCCTCGGCTGTAAGTCAAACGTACAGCTTTGCCACAAAAAATGTAATTTTTACTCCTAATAAAACAATATACCTACTATTTTCTGTCAATTTTCGATGTGTGAATTTAAGAGCAATATGCAATATTTTCACCCATATTTCCTTTTTGGTTTAGGTACAAACTGGTTTTGGAAGGACAGGTGATTACTTTTGGGGATTTGAAGGTCATAACATTGAACCGGATATTGTTACTATGGCAAAAGGTATTGGAAATGGTTATCCGCTTGCTGCGGTGGCTACCACCGAAGAAATTGCAAGCAGCTTGACTAAAGCGTCTCATTTTAATACATATGGAGGTAATCCAATTGCAAGCACGGTCGGTTTATCAGTTTTAAATGTGAGTATCTGAATATATCGTTTAACATGTATTGACGTTAGTTTCGTTAACCGTTTTACCACTATCAACTGAATGTTGGTTATGTACTCAATCACTATTAATAAGTAAAGAAATATTTATCAATTGACAGTTAAAGTCTGTCCAATGAATCAGGGAATGTTGCAACATCCAAAAATTACATAAAATTCAATTCACTTGTGACTGCACACTATTATATATTCTTCTTAGATTTTATAACCCACATGGATAAATAAAATCGCTTCATTATTGTTAGAAACATTCAGTTATCTGACCTTCTTTATCGTGGACACTGGGCTTGATCCATCGTCTATTTCTCTTTTGTGTATATTGGAGGGTCCACATAGCCAAATAAAATTAGTATAAAATAAAATAACATAAGAAAGTGGGTTATATGGAATAGCGTGTCATTTTTTTACTCAATTGTTAAAACTATGCGACAAACGTTATAACGAAATGAGGTTACTGAAAGACATTTTTTTCAATATCAAACATAATTTAATGTTGTAAGCCTATTTCTTTGGTTCTGTGAAAAATAGCCTCATTGTCGCACAGTGGTAAATCTAGATCTCTCGGGCGCCACCTCTGTTATTTAAAGTGGTAGAGGTCCACGTCTGCCAGGACGGGTAGCATAAAATTCATGAAGGGGTGCAGGTAAAGTCAAAATAAAACAATCAGTTTCAATTAAAATAATATAAACAATCTTTATTGAACTCAAATTGAATGAGAAGCAGCCGTAAAGTCTTGGCTCAGAGGTTTCGCGCAAAATGGCGCGGAGCAAGATTCTACGCAAGCGCGAGACTTTCTGTTTTCTAACCAAGGGCGCATGCGCGGCCCTGCAATGGAGGCGATGGCTGGATGGCTCACCCTTGGGAGTAGCAGAGAAGAGCTGTCGTCTATTCACCAAACCAGGTACCAAGCAACTGACGACTTTTGATTTTCTAACGGTACTGCTCTCGTCTACAGGAGTGGGGAAAGCAGCACACAGTGGGGACAACGGCGCGCGCCGTATTCCCGCGAGTATCGATCGATACGAACCAAGACTCTACTACTTGCTTTTAACAAAATAATTATTTTATAAATAATTTGATAATTAAAAGCTAATTAATTTAATCACTACTAATTAATTATCACAAAAATTAAGTAACATCGTTACAATGTTGCCAATTCATTGTAGCTGTATTTTAAAACATATATTACCATTATATGATTTTATTTTTAAATAAATATAAATAATATTTTTTTTTTTATTTTATATTTAAAGTAGATTCAAATAATATATGAAATAATTTGATAATACACATAGCGATATCCTGATGAAACATTTTTAGTGGTCTATATTTTTAGTTAATTTGCCAACGCATCAAAACTCCGCTATTAGTTGGCATTAATTTCCTGTGTAGTTTTGCACAAGCTCAAATATCTCACATGGAGAGTTTTATATTATGAATACCGTGGATTATTAATTTATAACAAACTTAACTTATTACGCGACTTCAACAGCGATATTTCTGGTCCCTTCACTATGTACTAGAGGTAGGTAAAGATTGAGCGAGTCGTTCATTTGAACGAGTGAAAATGAATCGTGAGATTCGATTCACCACTTAGAATACGGTTCGTTCAATTGAATCGTGGCCAGCGCGGTGCTGTACCTATAAGTGGCGCGCAAACCAGAGCGGTGGCGGTGCGGTCACAATACGATCGCGAACATCCGCACACCAACGCGGTCCGCGGTCATAGATAATAGAGCTAATTGGCGGTCAGTGTCAGCACCGTTTAGAGAAGATTATTACAAATTTTCATTTTTAATAATAATGAACATTGAACAAACATCTTTTTTTCCAACGTCACAGAAGTATTAATTTTTACGACGTGATTAACAATATAAAAACGCAATTTTAACGCCTAGGCGTAAAAGTAAAGCATTTTTACGCGTCAAACGTATAACTTGCCATGAAAAGTATCAATTTTACTCTTAATAAAACAATATACTATTACTCTTGGCTTTATTAGATAAATCATATAAAATTGGTTGCACACACACTTTTTCAATATTTTTTTCTGTATTACACATGATAACTAGGGTGATTCTACTTGTTAAATATCGTGCGAACTGGCGGGCAAATGGTGCATGCAGCGTTCTAATCTGCTGTACCGCCGCACGGTGGGGTATTAGCATGAAAAAGGTGATCGAAATTCGAAAAAGCAAATGTGTTTAAGATTTCCCAAAAAAAAGATAAATGATAAGTTAAATCATGTCTGCCATGAATGGCGTAGCTATGGGTGTGTTTAGTTGCATTCATTTGTTTCAACGAAACGTCAAAGTTGTTACTTCTCACAGATAAGAGGTAAATGGCTAAATTTTATGTTTAAAATTATAAATTGTTGTTTTTCTTGTGCTCTTTTTACGTTTATATTATTGTTTTGATTGAAAATGGCTCAGCAATTTCTTCGCTTTCATTTAATAGTTCTTCAAAATATTCTTTCCATCTATTCAAAACATCCTCCTCAGTTGACATTATTTGTCCTTCTTTGTCTTTAATATATAGTGTCCTATCTTGGTATCCCTTTCTTTCATTCCTCAGTCCCAAATATAAATTTTTAATTTGCCTTGATTTATAATGCTCTTCTATTTTCATTAAGTTTTCCTCACAAAACTTCCTCTTTTTATTTCTTAATATGTTTTTAGTTCTTCTTTGTTTCGCGTATTCTATTCTAGTTTGCTGTATTTCTTTTTCTAACAACTGTAACCTTAGTTTATTTCTAACTTCTAACTCCATTTTACATTCTTCATCAAACCATTGTTTTGACTCACTATGTCCACTTCTTTTTCCACATATCTTCGCACTATTTTTTATCTTTGCCTTCATAACCGCCCACTTTCCTTCAATTGTCTCTTCGTCTAAGCTTTTACCGAATTCTTGGTTAATCATATTTTCATACTTGCTTTTTTTCCTCTCTTTGGTTTAATCTCGGAATAAAATCCTCTCTTTGCTTTTTGTTTATCAGTTTGTTTTATCTCTGGTATGATCTGCTTCACGTGGATACCCACCATGAAGTGGTCTGAATCTGCATCAGGGCCTCTGTACGATCTCACTTTTGTAATGCATTTTTCTTCCAATTTGTCAATTGCAACATGATCTATTTGGTTAGTTGTTACTCCGTCTGGTGATCTCCATGTACCCTTATATATGTTTTTCCTTTTGAAATATATGCTTTTAATAATCATCTTCTTTTCCTTTGCAAAATCTCTCAGTAAATGTCCATTTTCTTTTGTTGTTTCATGCTTGCTAAAATCTCCGATCGTTGGTTTGTACATTTCTTCTTTGCCAATTTTAGCATTCGCATCTCCCATTAAAATCTTCAAATCATACCTTGGAATTTCATCGTATACTCGATCGAGTTAGCTGTAAAATTATTCCTTGGCTTCTATACTTTTATCCTCAGTTGGCGCATGTATGTTTATTATCGTTATTTTTTGGTATATTCCTCAGTCTTAATACACTTATCCTATCCGATACAGGTAGAAAGTTTACTAATCTTGCTTTCCATTTTTTCCTTATGATAAAACCAGTACCTAATCTTCTATTTTTCCCTCCACTATTCATAAATATGTAGTCTCCGACTTCTGTTATTGTTTGTCCTAGTTGTTTTGTTTCCTGAACTGCCACTATATCGAAATTGTATTTTCCAATTTCTCTGGCAATATGCTTCAACTTTCCCTCCTCCCATGTTCCTCTAAAGGTGCGTATTCATTATCCGAACGAACGAACGAACGAGCGAATGAAAGTGCGGTATATTTAGACGAGGACCGAACGCATGCGGCCGTTCGTTCGTTCGTTCGCTCGACCATCCGTTTCGAGTCGGTACATCAAAGGCGTTCGCCAAGAAATGCGTCCGGTCTATGGTCCGGTCTTCTCGTGCGGTTCTATCGTACGGTCCCCGTCCATACCACTACCGAACATTCGTTCGTTCGTTCGTTCGGATAATGAATACGCACTTAACGTTCCACGTACCCATCTTTATATACTTTGATTTTTCTTTCCTATTAATCTTCCTCACTTGTTTTCTCATGTACATCTTCAATGCTTTTGTCGTCATATAGCCATCTTCATGATATCTATTTTCTAGTTTTTTTGTGTCTTTCTTGTATTGCCTATTATGTCAAAGCACCCTTTGTTTTTATTCCATATCCACGTATTTTCACCTACTATTAATTTCTGGAAACCTATTTTTAATGTTTTTCCAGCAGCCTTTTCCTCTTTTGCTTTATTTCTTATCTTCACTTGTATTTCTCTTTCCTCTTTGCTCATATCATCGTCTATAAATACACGAGGTTCCTTTATTCCCTTCAACTTGGCTTTGTTCATCATTATAGTTCTTTTATCTGTTTCGTTCTTAAGTTGCACCATACATACTTTCTCTCCTAGTTTTTTTGCTCCTTTTATATCCATCCTCAATTGCAATGTTTTATTCAAGAAATTTTCTACCATTTCCTTATTTTCATTTTCATCTTGTGTTTTTATCTCTATTCCTCGTATAACAATATTTCTTCTTCTGTTTTCTTTTTCTAGTTTGTCTACTCTTTTTTCTATTTCCCTGGCCTTAAGTTTCAACTCGTTGTTTTCTTGTTTTATTTTTTCATTTTCATATCTAAGATCTCTTATTTCCTTTCTATACTCTTTCTGTTCTTCCTTTAATTCCTTAATTTCGGTCGTTAAGTTTGTTAAGATATGTAATATTTTGTCCATTTTTTCTTCTTGTTCTTTACTCCTATTTGGTGATCTTAGAGTTCTTTTACTTTTATTAAAAATCTCAGCAATAGGTTCAGCACTCCTCTTTCTGGATCCCTCATCTATAGTATAGTCATCACTGTCCATCTTGTACCGCGCTAGGTAAGCTTCCCGGGTCAACCCCTCGAAGGATAAACTCACCTCTCAGTATTTCCAAATATTTCCCGAGATATCCAGCTCTTTTCAGAC